TAGCAAAGATTGTTCTCTCAGTCTGTCACTTTGTTGATGTCACTTTTCTCTGCATCTCTCTGTGGTCTCCCCTTACTCCATCGTGTCAAGGCAGTGACTTATCTTCCGTTTCAGGCCCTTTTTCATTCTTACCTGATTGAATCTCCCACGTTTTGTCAGTTGTTGCTTCTGCTCAACAAAATCTAGCAAAATAACTCACCCAGACTGCATCAACATGGTTCAAATCATGGTTCAGACATGATTTCTCCAACACAGTAAATATGTCTATGGAGCAGTTGATGGCTGGCATGAAGTTTAGGAGGACAGCCTGCTCCTAAACCTGTCCACCTTCTGTCCATGTGCTGACTTGCAGACAGCCTATGAACTACCAGTATGGGCACTGTGAAAGCTGCATCTGAGAGTGGAGGGGGAGACAAATTGTTTAAAGGAACCATTAAAGACAGTTCCTTCAAGATGGGATTGTGGTGCATTGACAGGGTGGTGGCAAGGAAACATATGTTAAGTGTTACTGCTCTGGTCTGTGGTTAGTGTGGTTGTCATCAAGTTCTGTTTTATCTTAAGTTTTCTGAGATGCCAAGAAGCAATAATATCCAACTTCTTTGCTGTCACTGGTTTCACACCCACACCAACTTCACTGCCACCCTAAAACATCAGAGTCTCAATTAAAATATGTTTCTGTAAGAGCTCAGTGATTAAAAAAAAGTATCTTCCCTAAAAATGAGATGTCATAGCTTGTTTCTAGCATTAAGTGAAGTTTTCAATTTGATTGGTACATAAGCATAGGAAGAAAACAAAATTCAGGTTCAATCTTATGTGAATGCTTCATTATTCAAAGCTGTTGCAGTCTGGAAAGATAAGCGCAGAGAGTGCGGGTAATGAAAACAAACTTTATAAATATAATTGGAGATGAAACATATTGTCATCACAATCTCGTTGATTCAGTATGTGTTCAAACTGGGGCAAACTCCTTGCTGACTTACACTTGGAGTTTTGAGGTTTGCAGATGGTGTGAATCAGAGACTGCAACCGGTATTTTTACAGACCTTTAGTTTTATTAGGTGGAAAACAACCACAAGTACACTTCTAGTACACTTCTGTGAACAGGAAAAAGCATAGCTAGAGCAGTGGCAGAACAAACTTCCTGCAATGATTTGCAATATGGATTCACAGGGAAAATTCCTCAAGGCAGAAGGTAGTGCAATATCCACTGTCCATGCAACCCCAGCCTGTTTCTGCAGTAATTTTAAAAATTATTGCTAAATATGATGCACTTTTTTTCCCTCTGATATAGCTTTGCAAGTAAACAGATAACTTGGTGGTTTAGGTTTTTTCCTTTGAGTTTCTAAATAAATATCAGATGGTCCTTATTCTCTGTCTATGAAGCCAATGTATAACATTAATGTTTACTAATAGAAATAAATTTCTCCTCTGTGTAAGATCAGTCCCTGGCACATGTTTCCAAAATGCTGAGTGCTTAGCTGTTTGTTCAGCTTTATGACTAGAGGTTGGTGGTTTTTCTTTGAAACAGTCTGCTTATAGTGTGGCCTTATAGAGGTGGGGTTGCTGATGTCCCTGTGTGTGTATATTTTGTAGTCTTAATTGTCACCCTGGATCAAATTAGATTGGATAACTGAAAAGATATTGAACACTTTATGAAATACATTCATTTACAAAGGTGAAATCATGACAATTCATGTGGTGAAGTGCCCTGACTGGGATCTATTATACTGTTTGCCTGGAAATGAACTGCTCTGTCAAGATGCTGGGAAGTGTGGCGGTTTCTAAGGTGAAACAGCCCCTGAGCATATCCAGGTGCTGTCCCAGAGCATTCAGCAGCTCTGGGCAGTTGATGTGTGGGAAGCAGTAGCTGTACTGCATCCAGCTAAAATGTCAACAGGCAGCAGCTCGTGTCTCTAGTCTGTGCTCAGAACAGTGCACCTCCCGTGAAAGCATTGTGAAACACTTAATGGAGGCAAGTAGTTTGTTATTTTTGGATGGAAAAATGGCACCTCCAGCCACACAATGTCGTAGGGCATTGAACTGCTACAGAAGATGAGTTATAATTGAAAGAGGAAGACGTTTCCTAATTAATTATGTAAACCCCACAGCAGTACAGCCCAGCCCAGCCATATTTTCAGTAATATGATATAATTTGTTGCACAGTTACCAAGTGTGTTGCAAGCAACCAAAAATCATAAGAAGCTACAGCTCTGTTTCTGTTGTTTCTCAGTTGTGGTTTTAGAATTAGGACACCCAACATCGTGAGATTTAAACCAAAATAAAACAACACAAAACCAAAAACCCACCCAACCAACCAAAAAACCGGGACAAAACACTTTGGGAGCTTATATTCCCTCTAATAGTGAGCCTGCCTAACGTTACACTTTCAAGCTTTTCACTCTAACTGAGAAATAAGAAATTGGAATGTGTTTGTTCATAATTTAAAATAATGTCATCACTAAATTTCCATTTCTGGAGATTTAACAACTTAAGACCTATTATGGAACTTCTTTGAAATAAAATGATAAGAACTGAGGAGAATCTATTTTTATCAGCTACTTTCCAGAGACACACCAAAACTTTTATTGAAGAAACTTTCCTTAAATCATATGTACTTGATACCAGACCTCAGCCTCTCTTGAGTGTAGCAGGACTGTCTCTTAACATTGTCATAATTAGTAGACATCTCAAAAGGTTATGGATTATTGTATTTACACTTACTGGTTCCATGACAACAATGTGCTTAATATCTATCAAATCTGTGTCAAGGCACTTAGATATAATGCAAGCATAACACAAATTGAGTGCCAGAAAATAAAGAGTAGGATTTGGGCTAGAGAGTTGGGAATGTTGGTAAATAAATAAATTAAAAAAATGAACAGAGAAAGAAAAAAATAGGAAATCTAAATGTGTAGTATATCTGGGGCTAACCTCTTTTTCAAACTGTCATTTAGGATTTCTTCAAGACTTGCCTGCATTAGTTAAAGCTAGCTCAGCAGAGCCCTGCCTTAACAGCTTTGTCTTTCAGAGCAGCCAAGTGAGGCTTTCCTGAACTTCTTGGAAGGGGACTATCTTATGATTTCAGTATTCAGGTTCCCCATAATGCTGTCTCAGACAGTCTTTCCTCACAGCATGGGTTGGATCTTGTGCTGGCTGACATTTCATGATAAATTCCTGGCTGCTCTTACTGAAGAAAGCTCTTACTGCTCTTACCAGAAAGAGGACTCATCGCTACATTTACAATGGAAAAAACCCTGTAACCACTGTACATTAATAAAAATTGCTGTCACTCAAAGCTCATAAACCAGTTTTCTTTCTTAAAGTTACATCTGTAAGTACCAGTGCAGTGAGGTAAAGAGAATTTAAGGGCATCCTAAAGTAAATCAGTGGTATAGCTATGAGAGACAGCTGTCTTACCTGTTACAGGGCCATCCTTCCCCCTTTCTGTCAGTGCTGTCAGTGCTGATGTTGATATCCAGTTACAAAGTGGTACCCAATTACATGTGTGTCCAACTGGCATGGTTCTAACCCTCTTAGCAGTTGGTCCAACTTAAGAATATGAAGACCTGTTCAAGGAGTATTAAATATAGAGGTGTCGTGAGCCTTATCCTTCACAAATGCACTCCAAGCCTCCAACAGTTTCTGTTATTTGCTCTTTTACCGTTGCAGATCTGATTCCTAACTTGTAGAGCTACTGCATCCATGGGGAGAAATGTTTCACTTATAATCATGTTTTATAGTTCCCTTTGTGGTTTATTCTGCCACTTTGACTTGTCATAGTTGAATAAATTGAATTCTGTAGAGTGCTCTTGTAAATGCCACACTTTTGATTTTTAAATGTGCTTCAGTGTGATGAATGCAGCATTAGAGTGGGATGTGGAGTAGTGCTTAAATTTGTGGATTGTAGCTTCTAGGTTTTATTCTCAAACCTCTAGCCAGATTGTTATATAATTCATGGATAGGCCATTTTTAGGATTTCTGCTCCTTCATTCCATATCTGTAAAATGAATGTGTTTTACCTATGCAGCAGTTCTGTGTTGACACCCAGTTGGTTCTTTTTTGAATAGTTAGGCCCAGGCTGCTATAGCATATCGTAGAATGGCTGTTGCCACATCTGTTTATGTGGTGCCTGTCATAATGAGCTTTCCTTTCTTGGGTAAAGCAAGAAAGAAGCAGAAGAAAAGGTATCACTAGAATACAAACATAAAGTTAAGAATGTGATTTGAGATCTGTGAATGGAATATGATGAGGATTACTATAGCTGTTTTCTTTCCAAGAAAACACTTTCAAATATTGTTATTTTTATAGGCACTTTTATCTGCCCTGCTTTAAAAGGACCAGTAATTGCAAGTGTGTCTTAATCCATCTGTTAATGGAGGAAACTGAAGGACTTGAGCAAAATACATCTCTCCGTTAGTGAGGTCTGAAGTACGATTCTAAACCTGCCAGAATTTAGGAAGCACGTTTGCTCTAGAATGGTTTACCATTTGAGGATTTTGTTTGTTAATGTATAGCAGCTTCATAACAGTAAAGCTGATACTAATTCAGACTTAATAGCTGAAGTAGGTTTAATAACTAATAAAAATGGACTGTTTATGTATTAAACCCGGAGCAGCATAGCTGATCCACCTCTGTATTTTGGGTAGCTAATGAGTTTCTCCTTCAAATTTGGAGATGTATTTGTTTGTGAAATAGTTTTATGCCATGTGGAAATTTGAGAAAAGAATTCTGGCTGATATGAGGGAAGAAATATGAAAAGTAACAACGCTGAAAAGGCTGTAGATATGATTCTACAGAGTGACAGTTTAATGAGCTCTAGGTTTCATAGGTAGGAGTATCCCATGTTTTGTTTTAGCTACTTAGTTCTGGAGGGAGTGTGTTGGAGAAGCTATTTTCTCCGGAAAGTGAGGAAGGGAGGCAATGCATCTACCTAGTCTCTAAAGGAAAATAAGTGTTTGAGTGAGAATTCATTACAATATTTGAAAAAAAATGTTTTTCAGATAATTGCCTTTGATGAACTTCGGACAGACTTCAAGAGCCCAATCGATCAGTGCAACCCAGCCCACGCAGTGAGTACAACCAGTGGTTTGCTAAACAATACCTGCTCAAGAAAGGGGGATGCACTGAGCTGTCAGTGAAGTCTGAGTGAAATTAATATAGAGTCTCTTGTGAAGTCAAGTGTGGTTTGGAAAATTGATTTACTGGGCCAGTCTTGGGGAGCCAGATGGTTACTTTTTATGCTAATAGCCTTCCTTTTTGCTGAAGGAGGCAGGAAAATAATTTGGAAATTCAAAAGCTGATGTGATGCTAATGCTTTCTTTTTTCCTTATCATGCTGTGGCACAAGTTTTCCTTTTTGAAATAATTTGCCTTCTTTGTGTTCAGGCATGGGATGACCACATTTTCCCATACTGCCTGTATCAATGATCCAAAAGCTTGAGTGGATTTGGTAAGAGGCACGTTCGTGGACCTCTCTCTCTAATGGCAGGGCTCTAAATGCTCCCATGCTTTAAGAGTAAATATCATATTCTGCTGCTTCTGCTATGGAAAAGTTTAAATATCACCCTGGGACTGTAAACTCACTTTTAACTTATGAATTAAAATGCAGCCTAGATTTAAGTATTTCAAAATTCCTCTGCTAATTAAAGCTGTAATCTACGGTGATTTAGCTGACTACAGCTAAACATGTGTCAGTCTGTACTACCAGAACTAAGAGCAGAACTTGGCTCCCCATCATCTCACTGGGAATAACAATGACTACAACAGGTGCTGTATTTGATCTCTACAGAGTATCAAGTTATTGAATTGTCTGCAAATGATAACCAGATTCAGTACTTTGCCATTTAACCCTGTTTCATAGCTCAGCAGAGGATTTGTGGTACTGCTTAGACCACTGATGATTTTAAGCATAAACTTTATGTGAATCTTAGAATAAGAAGGCTTTTTTTACAGTTCATTAACACATAATCAAAGCATGAAAATAGAAGAAAGAAATTATATGAAGAAATCCTATAGAGGACTTCAGTGGATATAAACTGGTTTTGAATTTACTGGATGTAATCTGATTTTGAATTCACTTTATCTGTTTTTACTTCCCATCTTGGGAACTGCACACAAGAAATGTGTATTTATTCGTACCAGGTATTTCTTATACATTTGTTCAAGTGTATTTTCCTTTTTCCCTCTGCATAGTTATGCCCATATCCCTTTTATTTAGTGGGGTAGTTTTCTCTATTGCACTGTAAGAGTGTCTGATGTTTACCCACATATCTTCCACAATGTTTTCATGACAGAGGGTAGAGCCTTTTTGACAAGAGGGGGCTGAATTAAAGAGAAATCAGAGACAAAAACAAGGGCAGTACTGAGAATTTAATTCAAATGTCCTGGTTTGCCCTCTATTACTTATAGTTCAGAGACAGACTTCCTACTTCTTCACGGCCAGCTGTAGTTAGGAATCTATTTAAAGGGAATTGAGAGGTCTATCTTTCTCTCTCCACTTAACTCCTTCTAAAGGCAAGCTTCTTTCTGCAGCTTCACAGGCATGTCCACACACATCCATTCTCGGGTTTGCAACTGTGAGTCTAACATTTCTGAATGTCTTTTAGCTCAGAGACACCAAAAAGAGGCACGGTATTTTTCTGGTGCCTATCAAGTTGCCACTGCCTCATCGTCTTTCCAAAATGATACTTTTTAAAAAATGGCTTAAACTTGTGGACAGAAAAGCAAAAGAGACTTTTCTTTGGAGAATAGAAGTAAAACTCAAGCTTATGGCAGATTTAAAACATTTGAAAAGCAGAAAGCTTAGGGAGAGTTGGCTTTTCACATTGGTATAGTACAAAAAAGTTAATTGTTTGGAATATTTTTCCCATGTCTAAGTGAAAATATTATCAGATAGTCTTCTGAGGACAACAAAACCACTCTGCCTTCTGCAGTGTAACCAGCAGTAGAATGTTCCACAATAACTTCAATGACAGGGTTATGCAGTGAAATTTGATTGTACTGGTTAGTTTCTCATTATGAACCATTTAAAAAAACCCCTGTCTTTGATTTGCTTTCTTTCTGTGAGTTGAGCTTAAAGCATCTTTTGAGTCACAGTGCTTAATTGCAGTGATTTTCAGTATTTATGAATGCATCTGTCGTTTAAAGTGGCATTTCTAGGACAGTTCAAATATTTTTCACTAATGGGTTACATACTAATATCATATGTTGAGACACCATCTTGGTGATAGAGGAAGAGCTGCCATACAAATGTCATAGTTGTTTTTCCCATTCAGAATTATATTGAAGCCAGATGTGGGGGACCTTAAGATGCAAGACCAAGTCTTGCACAAAGGCTGACTTAAAAACATTTGCAGCCTCTGGCTCTAGGCTAACAGACTGGAATCCCCAGTTGATATTGTTACACCCAGAAACAGATGAAAAAATAACTTTGAAATGGGTAAATCACTTAGCTTGCTAGCAGTAGGTAGGAAGTGAATGCTGTCATTTCAGATTAACAACATATATTGTTTCACTGCGGCCATTAATTAAAACATCCACCCTTGTAATTGTAATATATTGTTTTAATTTGTAACACCAGCTAATCTCCTGCCTTTCCCCCCCTTTTTCTTGACAGAGAGAGCGGCTGAGAAATATTGAGCGGATTTGCTTCCTCCTGCGAAAGGTGAGCATAAACTAACCTAGGATTTGTGAAGTTCCTGAGAATTAAGTCCATCCAGTGGTGACGTGCATTTATTCTCTCTTTGATCCTCACACTCAGTTGATGAAAGGCTGGATTCTACAGAGAAGTGAAAGTCATGATGTCTTTGTAAGGGCAGAGTAAGACAAATTATAAAAGGTTGACATAATAGAGGATGTCTGGATAAGAACTGAATTTCAGAACATGAGCCCATTCATTCCAGAACAAGCCTTTTGAAGGTGGTGAATAGTTTTGCAGTTGCAGCTTGAGGTTCTTTTTTATAGTCCTATAAAGCTACTGATACTGTTGTAGTGCAGGCTCTAAAAATACCCTTTTTTTGAAAAGTGGCTTAGTATTTGATAAACTAAACATTTTTATTAGTTACATGTTTGATGTTTAAGGTTTCTAGTTGATAGAATAGAAAAGTTGATGTAGTATGTATTTTAACTTGACACAAGTGAGGTGCTGAGTGCCTCAGTTTCTGAGGGATTTCAAGGAGCTGATAATTTGTGGATTACTTATCTGTGGCTTCACAAAACATTTTAATAAACAATCCGTGTTCTCCTGACTCTGTCCTATTAAAGTAAAAATAATCATAGTTCTAAACTATTTTATTCTGTATGTTCAAGTTTCTGTACATTGTGTTCTGCAGAGTAGTAATAGAGCCACCTAATTATTCTACATTTTTGCTTAAAAAGGTCATCACTGAAGTGTGGACTGCTGCCTGCATCCTAATCAAGCTAAGAACTGAATTGGTTTTAAGGTACTTAGAGGTTTTAGGAAACACAGTGCTAGGGATTGAGGTGATCCAAAGGCACAACTGTGACTCTAAGCAGAATCTATGAGCTGTTATTCTCTGATCAGTCAGAACCTGAGTCATATCTGTTTGGCACCATTATGAGTTTGTGACTGTTAGGAACCGCATTTAAATACTTACTGAGCCTGTTTATGGCCCTTGGGATATGAAAATAAGAGAAAATACTTATCACCAATAGCTTTCCATTTTATCAAACAGGCAGCCAGCCAGTTTCAAGCTGTGTCCCAGTTTCTTGGACATAAAGCAACTGTTGAGTGGTAATGTATTAATATATGTGAGCCCCATGGGAATGCCTTGCCTGCATCAGTGTTTAATTTTTATTGAGCCTCAGCCTCGTTGTGAACAGCAAAATGGAGCATTTTGGCTAATTGCAGACTCTGTATTCATAAGGGATTGCCTTGCTTCTGGTTCACTTAAATAGTTTGTTAATTCAGCCTCTTTTTCGAAGTTCTTTGGGGACAGATTTGTTTTAATTGAGAGATTATACGCAAGAAGAGGAAGGTGCAGTAACTACAGAGATTTGTAGTCCTCAAATCTGACAATCACTAAAAATAGCTGTAGTTTATGTCGTATAAAGGAGTCATTGTTGAGGAAAACTCTGGAAAAAACAATAAAGAGTTGAGTGTCAGCTATATTAATACATGAAAATAGCAGTTAGGATGCTTCCAGCAAACACTAAATATATCCCTCAATATAACATTGTGTGGCTTTAGGGTCTGTTTCTCTTTCTATGAAACAACAGCATACCTGTTTTCCCATGTCTCGAAGACAAGTAATTCTTTTAAAGGGCTTTGGCATTAGAACTTAATTCTTAAGATCTGATGTAAATTTATTCTTTAAAAGGTTATAGGCGGGCTATAAAAGTATATTCATATATTTCATATATTTCATTATATGCTGATTTTACAAGGGATTCTTGGAAATTATTAAATGAGCATGCAATATGTCATATAAATCTGATCCCAGTGGGTGAAGATTTTCTTAAGGATGGATTTTTGGTTTTATCTCCAAAATACTTGAAAAAGTTTATTGACAAACTGTGACTAGGTATGTGATATTTCACCAGATATTATATAACTTATTTCCACTTTTCAAAGTAGAATGGAGGATGTAATTGTTCTACAGCCAGGCATTTTCTGATGTTTAGTTTGGGGAAAATGTTTCTATATCATTAAAACAAGTAGTGATTGTGTAAAGCAGATATATATGAGGCTGGTGTGTGTACATGCATGCACACAGGGGTCCTTGTTTTTATGGTGCTATAGAATTAGATAAGCCTAAGTTTTCTGGTTACTGGAGAATGATTATGTATGAAGAAGCTATGAACTTTGTATAGCCGTGGTCAAATCTCTTCTATTTTGAAATAAATGAGAAGAAGGCTTATTTTCTGAAGCCAGCACAAAGTAAAGTTCTCTCAGGATACAGGTATCTCATTTTATTCAGTGGTGTGTGTTGGAGGCTTAATAGCATAGATTTGTGTTCCTGTGCTGTAAACTGTTGAATATTCCATTATGTGGATGTTGGTTGTCTTACAAGTGTTAGATGGTTCACACAGGACACACACTAGTATTAGCAGATGCTGTGCAGCCTCTGTGCTATTCTCTTTTTTCCTAAATTGCCTTTATTTCTCTAAGAATGTGATTACAATGCTGTACAGAGGTACACAAACTAGCTGTGATGAGCTGCATTGGGCTAGTGCAGTGCAGTGTAACAGAGGCACAGGCTTCTTGGGCTCATCAGCCTTGCTGAGGACTGTGATAGGTTTGGTGTGCCTGTGAGGTCTACCATGATTTTTATGATTAAATATTTTGGTGGGGCTGTTAAAATATATTCAGTTAATGGTGACGGCAATATTATATAATTGTAATTGCAGTTGTATTTCAAGAAATCTGTCTACAAGATTGATTCCTGATGGAGATACTTGTTTTAGCACTAAAGACAATTAGGAATTTCCTAGATTAAAGCACAGTATATTTCATCAATCAACCACTGTAATATTATAACTTTACCTCTGAGGAAATTTAAATTAAATTTTGATTAGGTTATGCATCATAATTTTTGAATTAATTTGATAAATCCTTACTGAGGAGGAGAGTTGATTGAACTTCTTGCTCAGCAAAGACATTTGAGATTTCAGTTTGCTCGTGCCAAACACTACTGAACAATATAAGTGACTCTTCTCCAATTATCAGCAAATATTTGTTTTTAAGCTTCATTAAGCTAAAGTAAGAGTGATTTTTGAGCATCAGAACTGGAACTAGAACTTAACTGGGAGGAAGTTGACGTAAATAAAAGACAGACGTTTACCTATTTTCCTACTGTAGTGGAGCATTTGAGTTAAGTTATGCCTAAAATTCCTGAAACCGCAAGTGTAAGAAAATATTGTCCTAGAGCTCAATTATTTTTCTTGATTTTATTTGGGGATTTTGGCAGGTTTTTTTGTACGTCCTGAAGGGATGATTGGAAGAGAGCAGATTCAGCAAGAAATGTAACCACAGGCAAGGTGACATTAATTTCTAAGATGTTCCAGATGAACTTGAACTGTCTTGAAAAATACAAATACACAGACAAAAAACCCTGCAGGGACAACGTTTGAATAACCAAACTTGGCCAGTTTAGCACTCAGGTAGTAGCAGTAGCATAGTAGATAGTGAATCAGGAGCTGGGGTGTTTAAAACATCACAAAACAAGCCAAACCTAAACAACTCTTCACCTAATCTTTTCTGAAGCAAGTTTTAATGTTTTAGTTAGGAAGCTGGGGGGTGCCAGTGCTTGGTCTGGTCTAGTACATCTGTCACTGTGATTCCCAGTGGAGCTGGATCTGCAATAGTAATAGTGGAAATTTATTTTTTACTCATTAGTTCTGGTGTTTACCAGGTTCAATTCTGTTTTTTACTCCTCTGAAAAAATAAAATGAATGTTTATTTTAAATTTATATTCCATTGTGTATACTCTAATACACATGACAGTTATGTTTTACTGTATTTACAGGTTTTGGTGAATAAGCAAAACCAATGTTACCTGAAAGAGCAATTATAGAAGACATTCTATTCAGACTGAGATAATGTAAATAAAATGTAAAACCTAGTAAGCATTATATATAATCCCAGAGACCTGAGTGTCTGTACAGTTTTATTTTGGTATGTTCAATATGAAAATTTTCTGTAAAAGAAAAGTGAAAATTACTTATATGTGTGCAAGTAACAATAATTGAGAGACACAAGTAGTCAGAAGCTTGAAGGGTTATGAGTTAACACCACAGGTTCAGCTGTAGACAGAGCATTCTAAGGATGAAGATTAGGCTTGATCCTGTGTCTGTATCATGCATGTTTGTCAGCATAGAGTGCACTCACTCAAAGCTTGGAAAAACCCCACAGTGTGTTCAGTGAAACACTACTGAGCTCATTGGATCAGCTAACAGGGAACAAGTTGGCTTTTAGGCTTTTCCTTAATAGCAGAAGAAAAGGGTGTTGTCTGAGTATAGAGTCTCTTTTTCTTTACATGTAGCTAAATATTATGTGAAATCAGCATTGTTAGAAAGTAGCCCTATCTTTCCTTCTTTATTCTTAGCTGACATTTTTTCCCTGCCTATTTTGGATGAAGGAGACTGACCAATGTGCACTAGAGAAATTGCCATGTGAAATAATTTTTTTCACTTGGACCTTGATACGTTCCAAACCTTCACCAACCAGTAGCCCCTACCATTCTCTGCATGCAGCAGGTGCGGTGGACGTACTCCTTTGTGGAGTGTCGGGTGTCACAGCAGCAGCTGATTTCAATTGACTGATCATCTTCTTTTCATCTTGATAAATTTGCTGGTTATTACGATGATCACTCTCTTTGTTGTTCTGCCTCATAGTCACTGGCAAACCTGAGATAACGTGATGGATTTTAAGTGTCTGGTTTTGAATGCGTCTGTTGATTGCTTCGTTATGCATTTAGGGATATATAAACGTGTGATGTTCTTTTGCCCAATCTGCAGGCTGGTAGTCATTAGCAGAGTACTTCTGTAAGCCTATAGCATGGTTCATTAAAACATTTATCGTGAGGTTATATAAGCAAATATAGCAAATGTGATGCATAATCACAAGGAATTTTTAAAGTGGTGTACATCCATCCATATTGTAAGAAGGAATCATGCTTTCTCCGTGGGGCTAAGAAATCCCAT